GGAGGCAGACTCATTATCTATGTCCTACTAGAAATACAGCATTAGAACCTCTACTGCCATTAATAAGCACGGCTCCCAAGGTATCGCTAGAGCAAATGAGTGAGGTAGCTATGTACTGCACTGGGGACACAAATGATTCTTGGTTTTGTCAGGTTTTTTCTCAGAACAATATAATTAATAGCATCCTGCTGTAGAGTCCATCCCCATAAAAACGAGATCATCTGAAATGACAGAACTCATTTGCACACAGAGAAATGAAACCAACAAGAAGATTGCTGAAAGTTCCCCAGAGAGGACAGCCTTCTAGCAAACACTTTCTATTTTTTCCACACTCCAGAAGGCATCAAAAAATACAACAGAAAAATAACTACTTAGGAATGTTGTTATTCTATACTACTAAGATACTATAAGATCAACGAAAAAGGACACTTTACCATTCTGTGAGGTTGGAAAGAGAAAGTAATTACAGTTGAAGTTAATTGTGGTTTCCTTGCCAAACATACTGAGCCAGGACATTTACCACTTCAAGCAGCATCAACGTTTCATCACTCAGATACGTGGATGCTAGGTTATGAGCTGGATGTCACATACAATATTAAGCAGTTCCTTCAGAACATAGGACTATACGGAAAGCCTGTGGACAAAACCACTAAAAAGAGGTTAGCACATGCAGGTAAGTACTGTAGGAGCCCTTGGCTGTTAACATTTCAGCATCACACTGGAATTCCAGCAATCATAGATTCCATGCTTGTTAACGCAAAAGCCCCAATAAACTTAAGACTAGCTGCACACAAAGCTAACCACACATTTGCAGACTTGGCACCTTTCACTTTTTTGCTAAAAGCAAAGTTATTTAAATACCAAAAAATTTCCCACTATGCAGCTACCAGTAAAAAACACTAATTAGAGTGACAGAATCATGTATGTCAGAAAGGGCCTTGGGAGGTCTCTAGCCCAACCCCCTCCTCAAAGCAGATAGAAGTAGAGCAGGTTGCTCAGGGCCATTTCCAGTCAGGATCTGAAAATCTACAGGGATTAATTCTAGCTGTTCCCACTTTGTTGTTTTTCATGCACACAGAAACAACTTTCTGGAATATTTGTTCTATAGTCTTCCCAGGGAATGAAGTGAGGCTGACCACCTGCCGTTTCCCCAGATCCTCCTTCTTGCTTTTTTTGAAGATCGGTGCAACATTTGCCCCTTTTCTAGTCATAGAACCATAGAATCATTTAGGTTAGAAAGGACCATTAAGATCATCAAGTCCAACCATTAACATAGGACTGCAAAGTCCACCACTAAACCACGTCCCTAAGCACCGCATCTACACATCTTTTAATATCTCCAGGGATGGTGACTCAACCCCTTCCCTGGGCAGTCTGTCCCAATGCTTGACAAAGAAATTCTTTCTAATATCCAATGTAAATCTCACTGGTGCAACTTGAGGCCATTTCCTCTCATCCTATCACTTATTTGGGAGAAGAGACCAACACCCACCTCGCTTCAACCTCCTTTCAGGTAGTTGAGAAGAGACCTACATCAACCTTGCTAGCTCTTTTCAGGTAGTTGTAGAGAGCGATAAG